AAGTTTCAAACACTTGGCATATGACTATTCTAATTTACATTTACATGTCTACATCTGGTAATATTTACTGGATACCTATTTTTCTCTTCAGATTTTAATGAAAGTAAAAAAAAGTGTAGTTTATTTTTCGTAATTATCTTTTTTTAAATTAGTATGATCTTAATTGGATTGTGTTATTAAAGTATTCCTCTCATACTTTCTTAAATTTATTAGACACGAGTTTCGAGTTTTTACATAAAAACTTAAAAATAAATAATTGTGCAATGATTGAAGCTTATTATAGCATGCATTGCATATGTTGTACTTTTTTAATTATCTAAAAAAAGTGTGTGTTTGATTGTTTAGTTGTGAGCTGTCAAGTAAGAATTTACGAACGAAACTAACGGATGGGGCAGTCTTCACTTGCGCCTTTAACATCTGGGTTTTATGTTTATTTTTCTTAATAGGAGTATTGACTCTAATTAAATCAAAAGGAGATCTACGACTTTACATAAATGGGACCCCAAGCTGTAAAATGGTAAAATTAAAACCATTATTGTTTAAGAGTTTTAAATAAAAGTTGAATATAAATTGACTTATATATTAATACTTGTATTATTTTGGTTTAAAAATTACCTAATTACGCCTGTTCATCTAGTGGTTAGCCATGTTGACTGCTAAGCCAGAGGTCATTGGTTCGATTCCCACAAATATTGTGCGACGAGTACGATCATTTGTTCCGTGTCTGGCTAGCTTATATCTCTTGTATGAATGAATGAATGAATCTTTAATATGAATAAGTCTCAGTTTACCCTTCCCGTCAGTAGTAACATATCTCGCATCATACTCCTATCATTGACGGAAAGTAGGTGGTAGTGTTTACTGTCAATGGAGTAGGAATCATGGCGCTCCTTACATTTAAAGTTAAGGAACCTTACGAAAGTTTTAAATTCTCTCTGTAAACTGTCTATTCATAAAATATAAACAGTATATTGCGGTGACCAAACAAGACAGCAATACTCTAAAACGCTACAGACATAGGCGTAATAACAAATTTTGAAACTGTGAGTTTCACCAGGGTTTACAGGGTATGCATTATAAAGCCAAGATTTTGTTATGCCTTATTAATGATACTATTGAATTGCTCGGAAAACAGCAATTTTGAAATCTAGCATTACACCAAGATCTCTGACGACTTCAACCCTTTCAATGACATTGTCACCGAATCTATATGAATATTTAATCTAAACTAAACTAAACTAGTTTGACCCTTGGAGTAGTTTGGGACTAAATATTTTTAAATTGTTTATGAGTAAAGACTTGGTGGGCGTAGTGGCTACCTCGCCGCTTCCTTCTGCGTTGAGTGTTGCGGGTTCGATCACTACATGGGACAACACTTTGTGTGATCCACAAATTGTTGCACTGAGTCTGAGTGTTCCTTGTGTCAGTTTCATGTATATCTGTAAAGTCAACGTCCAAAATATATTCCCATTACTTGAGTAGTCTTTAAAAAATAACTACATATGGCAAAGTATAGAGATTCTCGAAGTTTTAGCCCCATAGTCTCTATAATTGTAGATACATCACAGTAAAAGCCAGTAGTCACCATAAAATATGTATTGTCAGGTGATGTCAGGTATTGGGTGTTTTTTATGTGTAATATGCATGTATTTACGAAAAAAAAATGTTAAGTATTCTATCAGACAATCTAGCTGTCATAGTACAAGCCCTGCTTAGTTTGAAACTAGGCGTTGTGTGTCAGATGTCCGAAGTATTACTATATTATTATATGAGTAGCTTTTCTTGTTTCAAACAATGTCGTTCGTGAGTTCTAACAACTTTGCCTCACTTTAAGCTTACCAGTAAATCTATCTATCTCGCATCAAATTATCGGTCAGTTAACACTGGGTCAAAAATATGTAGGTACGTTAAAATGTGTTAGTTTAAGTGGAGAATAATTAGTTTACGAAGAAAAGAGGTCGCGGAGGTACCATATATTATACCCTACGGTCGTCTACAACACTTCTACCCAGTGTTCCTTGTTAAAATTACTTTCACTAGCATATTACTGCATCTTATTTACATGCCGATTCACTAAAACTGTACGTCACGCGGCTAATACATAAGTGATTCACTGATTTTTATTTTAAATAAAACAATACATTTTGTTAAAAGATTTAAAATATGAGTGATTAGGATGATACATTTGTGCGTGACCAAATGCATGCCTATCACTGCACGAATAAGGGTTGAATCATGTTGCAGTAGGCCGGAGCCAGAAAGTAGCAATAATACTCGTACACTAATAACTAGTTAACTTCTATAATCCAATTTGATAACCTCGAGCTGCCTATTTGACATCTTCAATTCCCAAAAAAATAAGTCTTGCTACTTACATTTTCTGATCTTCAGTTAATCACCAAATTTGCAGTCGACTTTTGTGTAACATGAATAGTTAAATTTACTTCACGTAAACTATTTGGATAAGGGTGGGCTTGATATATTATTTGATGATGACTTGAATTGAAATTTAAGGTCAGATATCATTTTGATCGGTAGATTTCCGGATACATTTTGTCACGTTCAATTACACCTTTGCTAGTTTGTTAACATACACCTTTAGGAATGACCAGCCTTCTCCTTAGGCGAAGTATAGTAACTGGTTCTTGACATGGTCAATCTTTACTATCCGTTTAAGAATGCAGTTGTTTCAAATCGGATTCATTTTTCTTGAACGTTAATCGTCGCATTTTATTATACATTATATGAAACGTAGTAAATGTTTATTTAAAAAAACAACCTGCAAGTAAAATATTATGCAGTTCTTGACAATCTTAGAACTCCACGTCCATATTTATTTATAAAAAGATGACATGACAAGTGTTGTCGTTTGAGGATAATTTAGTAAAGAAAAAAAGCCCGTATTATTTTATAACGGAGGAAGAATAGATGTAATTATCAAGCTTATTACCAATCATGTTGATGACTTCCATTGTTCCGCTTTCTTATAAGTATAGAGCGAATCGTGTAGAAAATTATAGACCTTTTCATTTGATGATTCTAATTATGTATTGTACAAATACATGATCATCTATGTGTACAAATATACCAAACATACCATATATATGAGATAGTAGACCACCAAAACTAAGAGTTTTTGCATAGGAAGGTAGTATTTGAGAAAAACCATCATATAGGTTGACCGATTATTCTGAGAGTTCGAAGAGTTCCAAACCTCGGTCCCGGTCCTGCTCCGCCATCTCCTTCGCACACATAACTTGCTCGCAGAAGGAGACGGCGGAGTTCCATGCACTCACGCTTCGCACCATGGCCGCAATTATGTTACTGAGCGAGAGAACCCCCATCCTGATGGCCGTTTCTGCTCCACCCACGCCGGGCATTCTGCCATTCTCTCGAGCCAATCCTCCATAATGGGTCTTACCGCCGCAATAATGGCGTGCCCGAGTGTCACCCACTACCACCATCCCTATTCATCCCGCGGGTTTCGTAAGAGTCGTCTAAGGGATCAAATTACGCAGGACAATAGCACTGGAAAGAGAAGGAAATCTTGAAACTAACATAGTACCAACCCGTCTGGCCAGCGTGGTGTAGTAGGCCAAATCCTCCTTTCTAAGGAGAAGCCTATTTCCAGCAGTGGACGACACAAGAATCTGAAGATTTATTCCTGTGATTCAATCAATGGTTCAAAATGACTTCTTGTTTCAAGTTTAATAAGTTGTATTTTGGAGATGCCTGGCTAGCTTACCAGGACTGAAGAGACGTGGGTATCAGGCGCAATCGATGCCTATATTATGTGAGACACTGATGCTGCAGGCTGCTTCATGCTATAACAAAATATGATAGTGGGTTATAACTATTATTTTATATACCTAGGCCAGGTGTAAGTTTTCTATGTTGGGCTATTGCAACACAGATACTCAGTATCAAATAAAAGCGCTTAAAAAAAAGATTTCTCTAAATATTCTTTTGTTATCAATTATGCAACACCTCAAAATAATCGAAATAGACCAGAAACTATATCAAGGTCTAATCAACAATATTTTAATATTATTAAGTTTCATTTGTGAAGAGAGAACCTTGTACATTTTGTAATAATTTTAACAAGATAGTATTTACCTATTCTGACAATAACTGTGACAATGGTTGGTTAATCATAATGCCGCAAAACCTTTTAGGTAAAATTGATTTGGTGCTGTACCTTTGGAAATTGAAGCATTTATGGTAATATGACATTGCTTTGCCAGTTATATTTTAGGTAACCAACTTAGTCACGCTACATATGTATTATTAAATAATTGAAATTACTACGATTCGAGTCCGAAATAACACTCAAATACTCCGAAATATTTTATTCCGAATTTCGATGATCCGAATTTCATAATACCTAAGAAATATAATAGCTATTATTAAAATTTACGAAATTTATTTTACCGAAAGTTGTAAATGGAATTGTTTCTTTTCCGATTTTTATACATACGAAGAATCAAATGCTCGATGGGTTCTTGGTCCGAAAAAGGACATTCCGATTTTCAATACTTCGAATAAACTGCTAAAATTAGGAATCTGATTCAGTTAGTTATAACAATATTCAGTTACGCATATATATTCAAAATTTATAAGTAATAATAATAGGTTATTAAATAAAAATCCAATACTAAGGGTAAAAAATAAGGAATAAAGAATATAGTTTATTACAAATTGTCACGATTTAAAAACATGGGGTGATATTTTTACAGTTAATTATTTTTATTTTTCTAGGAATATTTTTCAACTGCTGATAATATTATAAAAATTGTTTCGAAAATATTATAGACATATGATAATCTCAACGACGCTTCATATTTCTGTATTTATTTTTCATTTTCACATTTTTACTCAAGAAAAAAATATTTGCAAATAGTAATTCTACTCGTCGTAACTTTCGTACAGACATGTGAAATGTACGACCATCAGGCATATTTCTCAGCAAATGTACAAAATAAACTTATGTATTCCGACAGATTCTCACGATATGGTATTAAGATTCAACAACGCGCCAACAGAGAATTATACAGAAGATGTAGGCAGTAAAACAACTTTCCGGGTGCTTAATTCACAGGTAAGCTCACAGTATGTGTTTACGTAAAAAAATGTGTAGGTATGTAAAAAAGGAACAGTGGCTATGATTATCATTTTTCCAATGGTGCAATTGTTCATTCACCTAAAATCTTATTCTTTTTCAGTTGTCAGCACTATTTGCGCGACCTGGCATTAAGGGCTTTACTCATGCGCACAGAGCTAAAGTGTTACGTGTTGCCAGGTTATCGGGGATTTTTTTGAGTTCCATTAGTTATATGAAAAAAAAATACATTTAAGCAGACCGCAATATATTTATGTTTGATAGGTACATTATTTGCGACTAAATAAAAAAAAAGCTGAATACCGGTATATATAATTACTTGCAGGATGAGTAGAATCTCTAGTTCGTTACCAACTGTTTTTTACCGTCATGATGATCTGGTAATCTTGAGCAGTCAAGTCAGTTGAAATATAACACACGGTAATGATGCTCGTAAAACGCCGAAGAAATTTGCTCATTGTTCTCAGAGGTCATTCTTACGTGTTCACGAGGAATGTATACCTATGTTTGAAGGCAGTAATATATTTTTATTTCAGGTAGTGACAAAACCCCACTTCAAGTTTTTAGAAGACCCACTATTCCGCGGAGTCTCAATCCTCGCTTGGGATCCGGCAAATTTTTCGTCGACATTGGAAAATTGGTATAACCACCCTGATTATAATCTCTTCCCTGTTTACAAGAGGTGAGTAAGTAGCCTTTCCTGCCAAAGAAGTTTAAAAATATTTTTGTTAGTCCCTCTAGCAGAGATAAATGCTCGTGTTAGTATTGAGTTCACTTTCGTAGACTGACAGGGTTTGAATCTGCAACCACTAGATCGCAAGTGCCCGAGACGTTAAACATTACGCTGCCGCCGCTTCTAAAGTTACTTAGTAGTTAGTAAATAATGCTCTGCTAACCAAGATAAGGAGAGTTTTAAATAAATTTAAATTACTACTAATCCACTTCATTATATGGCAACGCGGGCTTTTTCACAGTAGCTACACCATGTTTCTTTGAAGGTAGGATGTATTGCTAAATAATAAAAAACTGCATTCTAATGTAGCTACTCCGATTGCTTGCGTTTAAAATAACAAAAACCTTAAATTTGCATGTACTGAGTACTGTATGACTTATAAAACTATTTAAACACATGGTCGAGATATTTTTAAACTGATGATTCTACTGATAAGTACAAATGTACTGTGTACTGATTTTAACGTTACCAAATAACTTTATACTGTAGATAAACGCATCTCTTAGACTTGACATTCTATATTAAATGTTTCAGATTACTTGAAGAGCGGAATGAGGCAGATGTTCACATATTAAATCCTCAAGTACTTTGGGAGTTATGGGCAGTGCTGCAAGATACATCTGGTTATCGTCTAAGGCGGAACCCTCCCTCATCTGGTTTTCTAGGTCTGTTTAGACTTTAGCTAATTATAATATTTCATTAGAATCATTGAATAACGATTTTGACAGGCACGTTGGCCTAGTGGTTAGTGATCCTGACTGAGCCATGTCGTGGGTTCGATTCACACCCAGGACAAATATTGTGTGATATTCACTCTTCATTCTCAATCGTACATATCATGGAGAGTGCTCCGAATACCGGCCATAACCCGTTCGCTAGTTTGCCCCCTCTTCCAAAAATCATTTGTTTTGTGTCTGGGTGTAATTTATCTATAATATTATATGTATGTATTTAGAAATATGTATGTAGGTACGTATATTAGCAGTCTTATTACCATAGCACAGGCTCTGCCTAGTTTGGGATCAGACGGCCGCGTGTGAGAAGTGTGAAGTTAATATTATTATTTAAATATTTTTTATTTTGTTAGCAATTTCTTTTTACACCTGGTTATTTGGTCGTTAGTCAGGAAGCTGACTGCTGAGTAGTAATTTGTAGGTTCGATTCATAAATTAATGTATGTTTTGGGTATCCTCCGTTACTAATAATCCGACTTTGAAAATTCTTTCACTGTTAGAAAGGAATATTATCCCTGAGTGCTATAGAATACTTTTTACCGCAATAATCGACAAACACGCAAGCGGAGCCGCGCGCCAAAGCTAGTTTTAAATAAATTAAAAGAAATTCGATACCTGTCTGGTCTGATATATAAGGAAAATAAAGTTGTTTGTATTTTTTTCAGCGTAACAAATAATACATGTACACATGAACATGTATATATATATATATATACTATAGATGGAGCATATTATGCCTTAGTAAACATGTAATTGCATGTAATTTATCTGCAGGACTGTGGTTCTCGATGCACCGATGTATGCGCGTACGCATGTTTGAGTACGTGCCATCAGCGCGAGCGACTCGGCGGTGCCATTACCACGTGGCACGCGATGACGTGGCATGCACGTTCGGCGCCTGGCATCCACTCGCGCATGAGAAGGCACTTGCAGAACGCATACGAACTAACGAAGATGTCGATGTCTTCCAAAGAGGCTTTGTAGACATACCTGGTTTTAATACCGTCACTTGTCAATAGACTGCAGTTTCTTAATATGCAGGATGTGACAACGACCGTGGTGTGCGATTTAATTTGCGATTGGTGAAGATTTCACTGTGGACCAATCGCAACGACGAACGCGGTCACCGTGGCGATGGAGTAGATGTGATTTAACGTCATACTAGGCCTTTAGAGATCACTGTTAACAACTCATTAACGTGAATGGTTCAGTGACGTGTCTCGGTACTATGGATCACATATGATTCTAATAGCTAGAAAAAGCTAACCTATTATAATTAGTGTTTCATCTTTAGGACTTACATGCAATATTTTTTTCCTTTTCCAAATAATATTCGAGAATTGACCTAAAACCTTTTTATTTTTTACTTTAATATCTTGCTGTTTATCAAATATTTAATTTGATAAACAGCAAGATAACACAGGCGTTGATTTTGACATATTTTTTTTTAAATATGTTGAACATTGATGACACTTGATATTTAAGTGAATGTCTAAGCTTATTACTTTTTAAGTGGACCGTGTTGTGTAGTTATTAAATTTAACAACTGCCCAATTTTGAATATTGCTGTAAAACTTTTGACTGGGTCTCTATTTGAAAAAATGATCAATTCGGGATAATCCAAAACTATATGAATGTGTTTTTTCTTTTGAGGTTTGACATTAACCCTTTAATTTGGGCCCGTTAATAATCATTTTTGCAAAGCCGTTCGAAGTTTAACGATTAAGATAGTATATAAGTCATTATTAACTTACACAGACAATACTTACTTAACTATAATGATATAAGATAATTCTAGGTTTCTGTGATTTTTGCAAAGTCATGATTATTTAGTGCAAGTAAGATATCACAAATATTATGTCTTCCCAAATATAATTTAAGGTGCCTAATTTATTTAGTCTACGTATAAACTAAGTAGCTTAAAATATTAAATTGTGTTGCTTTTGTAAAAATAAAATAGAAGATTTTAGAATACATTTGTTTGATTAAATTTCATTTTTAAGTTTTCAAAATATACTAACTATTAAGCTACTTGTATTATTAAAATCAAAGTTTATTTTAAGCAGCACATAACTGTTCCTGCAGCCCTTTACGTTCTCAAGGCATAAGAAGTTAATGTTAATTAAACAAGTAATTTCTCCAAGCGGGCTATCAAATTATTAGACAAACAAAATGTATGCATACAAATATATTATTGTAATGTGAGATCTTCAAATTTAGAACTAATTAAATCGGTACCGATACCTGCGATTTCTACAGTGACTCACGTCGGCTATTTTAATAGGTCCAAAGTTAAAACGAATTGTTTAGGTAATTTTCTCCGTTAGCCATAAAGACTCCTTATAGATTTTTTTAAAGAATACCGTAAAGATTAAGTACTGTGTGATTTCTTTATGTAACATACAAAAACTAAATTATTACAGGAATCACATACTTATAAATGGGTGCCTTCACTTCGCTGATTAAAAGGTTAGGGAGCGAAACGAAAGGAACACACACAGGGGAATTTCAAATAAATCATATAAAATGTACAATTACCTATGGACCTACCTATGGATCAATGGACTGCCCAAATAATGTTTTTATTTTTTGTTATTTGACTATATGATTATTTCAAATTGTTATTTACAGTTTTTTTATTTATTTCTTTTTATACTTCAGTCCTTCCTAAGAGTATGTATTGTAATCTACATAATCTCAGGAAGGGCTTTGCTTATTCAAAAAGTACGCCTGGGTCATGAACGTATAGGATATGTAAACACTCTTGCTGATTTCATTACTAGATACAAGGTGTTCTATTTCGTGATCGTTGTGATTTTTCTTAAACAATTACAAAAAAGCTTATACTAACGATATGCTCAATTGTAGAAAAATTACTTACCACGAAAACCACAATATGGGACAGTTTATTTTGTTTTATTTTATCTTGGAAAAATTTATTGACAAAATCAGCAGTTAAAGCTAGTTTTAAATTAGTTATTATAATTTACTGATTAGATTCAGTTCAAGTAAAGTTAAAGTACCCATTATCTCACCTACTATACTTTCGTGTATTTTCAAAAAGTTTGTAAGTTTGCAGCGATATCCTTCTTTAGAAACGACCGTATGATACCAATTACTCGTTGTATAATATAATAGGAATGATTACACTGACAGTTTAATTAATAAATAAAATTCAGTACTATAAATTCCACAGCATCACCAGGAAATGGTCGCGTAAATGGTATTGTAATTTTGATGGTTGAAATCAGGCCATGACGGCCATGGAATGCCCTTGTTCATCTTGTATTTTTAGCGATTTGCTAGTATACAGAGCGGGTATTGCTACCGGAATGCAGATATGTGTTGTGCTCTCATGATTAGTGATTCAGTGTGAGTGTGCGGAATTAGCGCGCCATGTCCAAGATGCGGAGCAGGTAAATACACCTCGTACAAGTAAAGTATTATCGACCTTACGCTGCGCCGAATGTAATTTAATCAGTTCCCAACGTCAGTTAGTAGCAGGATGAGTGCGATACGGATCCTGCGAGATAAAGAAACTGCGAAAAAAACAATGAGTGGCGATGCAGTTGTCTAGTATTGTCCAGAATGGGCAACTGACGAATCTCACAATAAACTGACATTGTGAGAGTCGAAATCTAAATTCTTTAACATGTCGGCATCGATGTTTTGCAGGACTTTTACAAACACACATTTTCTTTAAATGATCTGGGAATGGATCACACCAAGGACTTAAGATAATAATGTACCTCATTGCTGAAGAACATTCGATATGAGGCAAGTTTTTGAAATGAGGTTTTAATATTGACCGAATTTATTAAAATGTGAGCATTACACGCAAGTTTCCATAAAATTAGTAAATTCCAGATTGGGACGAAATTTAAATGTAGTCTTAAAACGTAAAAACGATGAGAAAACCGTTAAAATCCTTAGTTATATCTGCTATGAATAGTTAAATGTGAAAGAAAATGAAATAAAAAAAGTGTTATTAATTAGATGCTCGATTATCAAAAGGTGGAATTCTAGGTGGAGGTGTTACAGGACAATTTCCCTTATATTTTGAGTAGTATGATTGTTATTGATCATTATGCAGAGTAACTGAGTGCTACCTTGATATTATGAGAATGTAGTAGCAACTTTATCAAATTATCACGATGGAAAATAGAATGTACTCGTATTCTTTTCCGGGCTCCACGATCAAATTTTTATTTAATTTACAACCTGTTGGTAAATTGACTAGACAGACAGTTTTTTTTTTGTTATTATTAGTTGTTATGTTCTCATAACTGCAGATTGATAAAATGAGAAATAAAAATATTAAATTGCGTCATAACAAGTCAGTGTACAATCTGTAAGCAAAACGCGTACGATTATATTAGCACAATGAACCATCTAAACTATCACTAGTCATATTTTTTTAAGTGAAGCGTGAGTTGTTCAGAATAGACCATCAATTCGTCCTTCGTTGCTCATCTCTGTTGATTCGTACAAAGTTCGCAACAACTACACATGAATCATCAACTACCATGTTTGTATTCCACACGCATTTGTATCAAATAGCGGATATTTTAATAATGATCAGAAACTTGCATAGCTTATTTAATGATTTTTAACAACACTTATTTTCCTTATGCATTGTACTTTGACACTGGTTACGGCTACCGGTGTGTTTTAGGTCATTGCCTTTGGGGATTTCAAAGAATACTGCTACTAATGTAAGGCGGCGTGATACATCCCGGCTGTACTAAGGCACTGGGTATTCCGTAAACATATGAAGGTAATGTATCAGTATACTAGGAAGCGCTGGACATGTGCCTAATACAAGCCAAGGGGCCACACTGGCTGCGATCCAGCTGCCACAAATACATAGTAACAGCTTAATTACATATATCCATCCTGGCAACGTTTATTGAATAATACTACAAGCCACCAGTGAAGTTTTTACTCTACACACATATTATGTAAAAGATTGCAATCAAAATTCCGTTTACAGTTGGGGTACTAGTCTTTAGAATTATATTATTGATGCTCACATTGCAGCTAATGTGTTTTATATACCTCGATAAATTCAAAAGTTTAAGATTTTGTTGGTCGAAGAATTAAATATTTTCCGTTCATATACGATGACATATACCTATGCTACTTTTGCCCTCAACTTGTTGTTTAACTTATGTTGTTTATGAAATGCTATAAGTTCCCAGTATTTCCCAAAATGTCAGTTAAGTATTACACGCATTTTTATAAAAAAAGGTTCCCAGAACATTTGAGGTCCATTATCCATGATCTCGGCGCAGAGAACCGGTCCATTTCACCGTTACAACTATGTTTACCAGTGACTCACTGTCTTGAATTAGTGAATGACTTGTGTCTTTATTTTAGCTTCATCAAATGTGCTAATTCAGTAAAAGACTCACATTGTAGTAACAGCATATATCATCCTCTGCAATACGATAGTTGACTATAAAAGTAAATCTAACCTTTTGTATTATGAAACCGTTTTATTTCTATGTTCAAAATCAAAAGTCAATTAGGCAATAGGTCAATTAGGCAAATTCATTGAGATACTATCAAAGTTGTCCTGTTTGTCCATGTTTAATTGGTGGTTTATTTTATTTTATAACCATCAATTTGACAACACTAAGCTTTGACGTCATGCGTTGTTAGTGCCGTTTTTAGTTAACGTTAAAACTACCGTGTTATGTTGAAGATCGGGTTTTATTATTTATCAGTAGTAGGTATTTGATGAATACAATAATATAAATTTACATATATCGAGTTTTTTTTTACACTTGATTTCCTGAGCCGATTTGTTGGGTTATCGAGTGTATTGTAATAGGTGTAACTGCCATATTGATGAGGGTGGGTGATTAGTAAAATTAGAACAAAGAAGCTACATTTGACTAAGATCCTTATACAATTAGGTACAAAACAGAAGGCAAGAGCTACGGAAGTAGTTGATTATAATGAAGTACAAGTACTATAAATTGCCCTTGACGACACTTGAAGGTTTCAAAGCTTT